GCAACCTTACGGCGGTGAAAAAGTGACTGAATATATATTAATGTATATTTAGGTAGCAATCTTTCTTTTAAACAGCTTTCATTAAATATGGCAGACAATGAATACTTAATTATTTATTTAGCTTTTCCATTTATTTTCCGTTTTTTTAAGAGGAAGGGACTAATGACATTTCCCATAATTTTCAGTCCCAAGTACCATTTTCTTTTGTCACTTTCAAGGTTATTTTTTTTTGGGGGGGTTTGATAGTTTTCCCTCATGTTTTGACTGTTTTAATTTGTATTTTATTTCTGTCTTGTTTTGAATTCCGAGCCTTCTCGCGTTGGAAATTATTAACAATTTCTATGCACTCTTACGCCTAAAAAACGGGAAAAAAGTGTTGTAACCTAGGGAAGGTTACTGAATAGAATAATCAAACGAAGGTTGGTAATGAACGATAATACTTAGGACAAGAACAACACATATAAGATTCGCCAGCGGCGCGTAGAAGTAGTCAACTCCCAGATGTAAGTCAAGTTGAATTCCACAATGAATCCCCAACTGCAGGATATATACCACTGCCCCACGCGGTCAGATGTGGCACAAGGCCAAATTAATGGTGATTTTCCGAGCCCCTAGTCTCGGCCAAAAATTCCCCGTAGATCCCGTATAAAACGGGGTCGGGTAGCTATTTCCTGAGACGAGACTCTGCCCTTCGACATAGCCTCGTTTGGGGATCCTCTCTGCCCGGAGGCAGAGAATTTGACAAGCATAGCTGGAGACGAATCTCCAACTGCGGACCAACATACAGTATTTACTACTGTATTTATGTGAATGGGGACATACCCATTATCGTCCGTAGATATGCTACAACACTAAAATTGCTGGAAAAAAACTATAATTATATTTGGTCCAATGATTCTGAGAGCGATGCCATCGGGAGATCTAAATTCCTGGTAGAGCTACTCTTGGCGGCAAAGTCGAAGCCGAGGACCCAGACTAAGCGGGACCAGCCCTAAAGACCCCAACGGTGGAGTAACAGATCTCAACCGTCGAAGCAGCGGATGAAGAGGGTTTCGCATGACGGATATGCTACAGAAGTCGCCACTCGACATTATAACAGACTTAGCAGCAGTCCGTTGCAATTTCATAACAGGGTGATGCACGTCTCATGCCGTATGTACTGCAGAGGAAGGTCACGAAATCAAATGTGTGGGTCACTTCCTGGCAAGCTGAGGTCCACCTTAAACAAATTCACACTATTGGCATTTTCTTCTACCCTGATTATCACCCGTAAAGCCAAAAGCCTCATCAGGGATGGATGACGGAAGGACGATTTCGTAGAACTCGAAGCTTCTAGTCCTGAACCTATATATTGGCGGTGGATGTAGTCATCAAAGCCATCATCATAAAGGAAGCGATCAGCAAAGAAGAAATTAAATTCTTGGATACGAGATAAAACCGACGATAATATTTTAATATATATTATAATTATATTATAATATATTGTAATTATATTATAATATATTATAATAATATTATAATTATATTTATAATTATACACAATTATAATTTTATTATTATCATTATCCTAATCTTAGGACAGTTGGGTGCTGTAACGGATATCGGTACAAAAAGGGGAATCGGCGAACTGAGTTCAAATTCCGAGCTAGTCTGTTCCATTCACTTTCGCACAAATACCTTTGAGAAAGGGCACGAATCCGTCTCTTCTCCTCACAACGGTGGGTTAAATATAAAGATAGACTAGACTTTCTAGCCTTGGTTGGCAGTCAGTCTAAGAGAAGGAAAACACCAATTTCCAAACCGTGGAGAATGCAACCGGTAACCTACTCCTCACTATCTTTCTAAAGAAATAGTGGTTGTTTACAAATATTTCTCTTCTCCACTGGTTACTCTAAAAAGTCTACCATTAAGTTCTACTATTTTACCTTAGCCGTCGAAGAATGAATGATTCCATGGCCTTTCGTCGTGTATGAGTCAAAAGTGAACGCACCACTCCTGTTTGGAATTCGAACCCCGCATGCCGATTTCATTTTCAGCGCGGCTGACCATTACGATACTCAATGGCACAAAACGAAGAAAGAAAAGGGCAATTTTTGGCTTTAATAGACGCATAAACATAGTGGCCGACTTCAGTGACCCTAAATCCTACTTAAGGCGGATTAACCTAGATTATAAGTTTTCGGTTAATCAGTCAAGGATTATCCTGAAAATAAAGACTGAATAAAAAAAAAATAAAGGATCATGAAATTTTTGTGAAAATGAAAGTTCGGGGTTAGGTTGACGGGCTGAGGGCCCGTCATTACCGTGTAGACTCGTGTATAAGTCGACTTTGTATATAGGGTAGCAATAAAGTCATTATACAGTTACTTACAATAACAATCAAGACAAAGCAATTAATCAACAGTCCAGAAATTTATTATTAAAATGGTCCTGGTTAATACCAATAGAATGCTATGCTAAACAATAGTAAATTAATTACCAATACTGTTCGAACAGCAAGCCACCTGCTTCAATGCTTTGCTTTTTTATTATAAGTAATTGTATAATGACATTATTGCCACCTTGTATAGACATCGTGCTTTTTGGCCAAAACATTATTATAAGTTTTCGTGTAGGCTGTTTCCTTTAGAGTAACAAAGGATCAAATTAAATGGTTTGTAAAACACATTTCCTGAAAGTGACTAAATTATCTGACGACCAATAAACATATCATCGACCAGTTCGAAGTACTAAGCACCAATGACAAAATCTTTACCATTTATTTAGTTTATTTTACACTTTAGACTAAAATCTCTGTGCTTCTATTCCCCTATCTAATGTATGTTTATCTAAAATAAACGGTATGTACGTAAAAAAGTTTCCAAATGAATATGAGAAAAATACTAAACATAATGTCTACTACACACACAGAGACACACACACGCTTAGAAATATATGTTATCATCTAAATCTCACACAGATAAAGTAGAATTATTATACACTTACTTACATAAGGCAATATTGAGGGTTGTTCTGTTAGGTTTGGAATCCATTAATATCTTGGAACTTCCAATGAACGCGTCGTTTCTCCTTAAATTTGAAACGTCCCAAATTATACTAACGTTTAACAATTTGAATGCACGTGAAACATGATCAACCAATGAAAATATGATCCCCCAATGAAAATAACATCAACTAATGAAAATATGATCAACCAATGAAAACATGATCACCCAATGAAAACATGATCACCCAATGAAAACATGATTACCCAATGAAAATATGATCAACCAATGAAAACATGATCAACCAATGAAAATACGATCAACCAATGAAAACATGATCAACCAATGAAAATATGATCAACCAATGAAAATACGATCACCCAATGAAAATATGATCACCCTATGAAAACATGATCACCCAATGAAAATATCAACCAATGAAAACAATCAAAATAATATGATCAACCAATGAAAACATGATCAACCAATGAAAATATGATCAACCAATGAAAACATGATCACCCAATGAAAATATGAAAATGAAAACATGATCACCCAATGAAAATACGATCAACCAATGAAAACATGATCACCCAATGAAAATATGATCAACCAATGAAAACATGATCACCCAATGAAAATATGATTAACCAATGAAAACATGATCACCCAATGAAAATATGATCAACAATGAAAACAATCACCCAAAAAATATGATCAACCAATGAAAATGAAAATGATCAACCAATGAAAACATGATCAACCAATGAAAATATGATCAACCAATGAAAACATGATCAACCAATGAAAATATGATCAACCAATGAAAACATGATCAACCAATGAAAATATGATCAACCAATGAAAACATGATCAACCAATGAAAATATGATCAACCAATGAAAATCAACCAATGAAAATATGATCAACCAATGAAAACATGATCAACCAATGAAAATATGATCAACCAATGAAAACATGATCACCCAATGAAAATATGATCAACCAATGAAAACATGATCACCCAATGAAAATATGATCAACCAATGAAAACATGATCAACCAATGAAAATATGATCAACCAATGAAAACATGATCAACCAATGAAAATATGATCAACCAAAGAAAACATGATCACCCAATGAAAATACGATCAACCAATGAAAACATGATCAACCAATGAAAATATGATCAACCAATGAAAACATGATGAACCAATGAAAATATGATCAACCAATGAAAAACATGATCAACCAATGAAAATATGATCAACCAATGAAAACATGATCAACCAATGAAAATATGATCAAAAACATGATCCAATGAAAATGATCAACCAATGAAAACATGATGAACCAATGAAAATATGATCAACCAATGAAAACATGATCACCAAATGAAAATATGATCAACCAATGAAAACATGATCACCAATGAAAATATGATCAACCGATGAAAACATCATCCCAATGAAAATATGATCAAAACAATCACCCAAAAAATATGATCAACCAATGAAATGAAAAATGAAAATGATCAACCAATGAAAACATGATCACCCAATAAAATATGATCAACCAATGAAAACATGAAAACCAATGAAAATCATCAACCAATGAAAATATGATCAACCAATGAAAACATGATCAACCAATGAAAATATGATCAACCAATGAAAATATGATCAACCAATGAAAATATGATCAACCAATAAAACATGATCAAAATAATGAAAATGTGATCAACCAATGAAAACATGATCAACCAATGAAAATATGATCAACCAATGAAAACATGATCACCCAATGAAAATATGATCAACCAATGAAAACATGATCAACCAATGAAAATATGATCAACCAATGAAAACATCATCAACCAATGAAAACATGATCACCCAATGAAAATACGATCAACCAATGAAAACATCATCAACCAATGAAAATATGATCAACTAAGGAAAATATGATCAACCATATTTCATTCTCCGATGAAGCTAAAAATGAAATATGTTAGGATGATAAACGTTTCCTATCTATCTATCTATCTATCTATCTATCTATCTATCTATCACTGTGAAGTTTTTGTTTGTTCATACATATGGAAACTTCAAATTTGGTATGCATGCATGTATGACCAAGCAAAACGTTTTAGCGTAAATAAGTGGGGGGAACGGAGGTGTTTGTTTCTTTTTTCCTATATTTATATTTATCTTTAACAGTAACAATTACTATTTGTAACCTATAAAGCTATATAAAAATGTATTAAGCTACAATTACCTTTTTATTATTAATATCCGGAAAGAAAGAAAAATGCTATGAGATGCAACAATTAGTTGAAAATATATTTTCTGCTTTTCATTGTATTGTGGCACCCTGCATTATTAGAAAAAAAAAACTAAAGAAAAGAAATATTCATAGAAATATGATTTGATTTTTTTTATTCGGTTTATTAACCAGTTGTTAGTTTTTTAGACGAAGAATAATTGAATTTCGAATTTCTCTAATTATACTTAGGCGATCCTAAAAAAAAAAAAAAAGAAAAAAAAAAAAAAAATGAGTAATGCAAAAGGCCGGTCATTAGCGAAAACAGGTGTCAAGAGGCCAACGCGCCCGACCGAATTTCAAGTGACAATGGAGATTGTTATTTGGGAGAATAGAATTAAAAGGTAATTAAAAGAAAGAAAGAAAACAGGCTTGGTAAAAGTGTATGAACATATGTACGATTGATAAAAATGTCGGTCAAAGCATCTGGCCTACTTTTGTGTAGAAGACTCATTATCAATTTGGAGAAATGGGATTTTTAGAACAATGGAAAACGAAATATTAATCGGAGAAAGGTGTCTTTTTAGGATGAGAAGATGACCGCTGGAATTGTATACAGATTCTGACCTGTTAAAATTGGAACCCCACGATGATGAAGTGAAGACATTTTCAATTCAGATAATTAAGATTTTTGACTATCAGGTCTGAGCAAAAACAAAGAGGTGAAAAACGATTGTTCTTGGCTCTGAGAGAGCGCCAGTAAGACGGAGAAAATTCTTCCTGAAGTCACATCTAATTAGCGGCGGGCTGTTTTGACAAAGACCAGGAAGGTGAAAAGGCCGAGATTGTCATTTTCGTACGTGCGAAAAAGGCCAAATTAGATTTTGTTTTTTAGCAAGGTGTTCTTTCCCAGGACAACGACGGGATAAGCCACGTCCGATTGGAGACGTCACGAAGTACGGGAGACGCCCAACCAGAATCTCATTGGCCGAAAGCGGTCACGTGATATGCGAGAAAGAGGAGAAAGGACGCTCGATCAAGACCCATTGGTCGAAAACGGTCACCTGACATACGAGAGACCGGGAGAGATGGGTATGCGACTCCCCACCAGAGGCACTGTGAGGAAGTAGGGGTGAAAATAAGAGCGATAATGGGAAATCAGAAATAATGCGACTATTGGAATTATCGAGAAAACCTGACGCCGACAGACCCACCCCAGTTTGTTGCGGCGTCAATAAAAGCAGGACCCCAGTCGACAGAAATCAGTTGCAGCTGGACCGCGGGCAGCGAGGGAGCTTGAACGCGGGCATCGGGCCCGGTTCATTCGCCCCTTTGCGGGCAAGAGAATCCTAAGACAAGAAATCCTTCCAGCCCAAGTCGAAGAAGAAGAAGATTGCTCGAAAGCCGCAGAGAAGTTGCAGCTGGACCGCGGGCAGCGAGGAGCGAACGCGGGCATCGGGCCCGGTTCATTCGCCCCTTTGCGGGCAAGAGAATCCTAAGACAAGAAATCCCTCCAGCCCAAGTCGAGGAAGAAGAAGATTGCCCGAAAGCCGCAGAGAAGTTACAGCCAAGTCGAAGATAAGAAGAAGAGCTGCAGGCCAGACAGGCCGAAGAATTGCAGGCCAGACAAGAAGAAGAGCTGCAGGCCAAACAAGCAGATGAGTTCAGCCCCGGACGGCAGCGAGAAGGGTCCACCTCAGACGGCAGAGAGAAGAGTTGCAGGTCAGACGGCAGAGAGTAAAGTTGCAGGCCAAACAGAGAGCTCAGTTCAGCCCCGGACGACAGAGAGCTCAGATCACCTCAGACGGCAGAGAGGAGAGTTGCAGGACGGAAGAAGAAGAAGTTACTTGCAGTTATGCATAGAAGAAGTTGAAATCAAACCAAGCCCAAGAACAGAACTTCGTCTCAAACCAAATCGAAGTGAAGAAATACGTCCAACTCAAGCCGAAGAGAAGAATCAGCCGTGAACGACTGGTAGAGATTAGCGCCCAGTGTCAAAACTAAACCACACTCCGACACACAAAGTTCTAGAGAGTAGGCAACTCAAAGTCTTTAAGTTGTATGATAGAAGCTTGGTGCCACAGTCCACAAAGCGGGTCAGGGAAGTAAGAATAATTTTTATGTAACGAACATTAGATATAAAAGGTTGTTACCCTTTTTATCAGTAATTTTTGGCCTCGTGAGTTTTTTTCTTTTACTTGTGTTTTGCCACCCCCGACGAACTCAACTTGCATACGGCCCCAATCCCTGTTTGATCCCGTCTGTCTAAGATCTAATCACAACGTGGGTAGGCAGACCGGAGATCAGTACAGTTACCCTGGTAACCAGGTGTTGGAAGCGAGTTGGGAAAGGCGAGGCTGGTAATCATCTAACCAAGGGGTTGGAACGTCACACTTGGGGCAGCAAGGAGCGACCCGGAGGAGCGACGTCACCGTTGGCGCCGTGACCAAAGGATTCGACCCTGGACCAAGTGCCGTCACAGTATTATCTTTTTGGAAAACTTACAAATGGAATCTATTTTGCTTTTCTTTTACACTACTAATTTCTCAGGGCCGATGTTACTTGATACGCATGAATAATAACATTTTGTTTTTATTGAGATCAAAGATAGTACAAAAGGCATTTCTTATATGTATATATTTTATCTAAATGCCCACTTTTAAATGAGGAATTTATTGTGAAAATCCGCTATATGATTTATATATACATCACATAATGCGCACTGGTGTAAAAATAGTTAGCGGCTTGGGTTGAGGAATCGGTGAGCCGAGTTCGAATTCCAGTCGAATCCATTACATTCATTTACGTGCTAATATCCTTGGGGAAGGTGTGAACCCTCTTCTTCCTCCAGCTATGGGTAAATAACAGGACAGACTGGGTTCTATAGCCTTGGATGGCAAATGGCTAAAAGAAGGACAACTCTGAATTCAAAACCTGCAGAGGGTCGTTTGGGGACCTTGTGGCACTTAGTGCACCAGGTCTCTGTATTCGTCCCTTCAAAAAGTGTGGATGGTTCTGCACAAAACCTTCACCACTATAATCAAATCTCATGTGCTGGCGTCCGTTCCGAGGAACTGATCTGCTTGAGTCGAGTATATATATATATATATATATATATATATATATATATATATATATATATATATAAAAATGCTTAGAGGTACAAAATCTGTATACTGTTTTAAAATCAAGGAATTTATTAATGGTAATAGTCCGTAAGGCCCTTTCTTCCAACATCTCATCAAGAGAAAATCGTTGGAAAAATTGATAAATTAAACGAAAAGAACAACAACGAAAATGAAGAGCAAAACAAGAAACATTTGGAAACAAGAATTAATCAACATGTACCTTCTAAAATACGACATGGCAAAATAGATAACATATGTTATCTTCCCTCTACAAATATGGAATCGGCTATTGCTCAACACCTAGTAGAGAATATAGCCTGTGCCAAGTCGTATACGAAAGAGAGGTTCAAAATTATTCACAGAGCTGGTTCCAACAATCATTTGAAGATTTTGGAATCAATCTGTATAGGATTACGGAAACCTTCTCTTTGCCGGCAGAAGGACTTTGTGAAGTCTCTTAATTTGTTGGGAGATATTTTTATTTTAACTGTCTCTCGCTAATTATTTACACGCGATTTCCCCTCCCCTCATTATAAGTATATGTTGAGATGTTGTGAGTTTCCCGCGTGTCGGTGTATGAATCAAGACAAACACAGTTGTAGAGGAAAATACTGGTATATTTGTAAAAGCAATTAACAATAGAGTGATTAGTAGAACGAAGGTTGGTTAGTACGAAACAATATCCAAAGTCTATAGTCCAACGGTATGTACCGGGTAAGCTTATCTGGACTGCTCACGCTGACTCTCTCCGATGCTCTCTCTCTGTCTCGCTGACGCTCTGTCTCCTCTCACTAGAGCTGACTTATATGAGGGATCAGTCCATTTCTAGTTAGAAGGTGGGTGCGCCCCAACAGTATATATACTTATATGTTATTGATTTTAGCGTGTTTTCCCCACTTTTTTTTCTTTCATTTTCGTTGTTGTTTTATACATACATACATATATATATATATATATATATATATATATATATATATATATATATATATATATATATACATTAAAAAAAAAACAAGGAGAAAATAGTTGGAGAAATTGATAAATAAATAACAAAAGTTCAATTTAGCAATTTCTCCAACTATTTTCTTCTTGTTTTTAAAACAGTATATATATATATATATATATATATATATATATATATTTATTACCAACGAGCGAGAATAAAATAAGAATAATCAGGAGGACAGTAGATAGTAATTGGCATTGCAGATACATTTTTGAAGATTAAAGTTGACTGGAAAGCAAGAAGCCGGAAGTGAGTTCCACAAGCGAGAAGTGCGAGAAAAGAAACTGTAAGCATAGAACTCATGGTATTACATTTTATCAGCTCAACCGTAAATTGGTGAGACCTCGTCGCCAGTTTCATACTACGCTTAAATTCACAAAGTTTAGGTGAACGAAAAGTTACCATGGAAGTATTTATAGAAAAACCAAAGGAAGGCAACTTTATGGCGATGTGAAAGTGACTGAAGCCGAGACGCCAGATCAGGATTAACAATATTGCTGATTCTTCTATGGATTTTATCAAGGATCTCTAAATATATAGCAGGAGTACAAGACCATATATCACAACAATATCCTAAGCATGGGCGAATGATAAGACTTATAGATAGATTATGTAGAGAAAAATTGTCTCGCACGACACAGTGAACCAACTTTCATAGCAGCTGACCTAGCAATAGATTCA